AGGAAGGTCTGTAGGTGTGGCTCCTGCGGTGTGTGTGTGTGTGTGTGTGAGGCTTTCAGTGCTGTCCTGATGACACACACAGCGCAGACGGACCCAGAGAAGTTTCCACAGTGATCCCTGTGTGCTCTCAGTCTGTTTGACCTCTGACCCCATTTGTTTGTTGGTCTGCCCGTGTGCTGTCTGAGCTTCCCTTCCACACCAGGACAGAATGTCACTGAAATTCCTTCCCTGTCAGAAACCAAATCTAACTCACCCACATCAGTGCTTTCCCTGTCTGAAGGTTTCTTATGTGGAAACCTTTGATGAAAGCAGGGACACACATGACAGCTGCTGAGCTGGTGAGGTGCACGATTTGGGTGACTGGTCTGGCTACTTGGACCGAGTCTGACCCAGTCTGGAGCTGTCGGCGGCGACAGCGAGCACATAAAATCATGTGGTGTTTGACATGACATCAGTGAGGTCACAGAGGTCAAACAGAGGTGCCTGGATGGTGTGAACTGTGGCAAACTCAGAAGGTCCACGATACAAAATAAAGGGATCCTTATAAAATAAAGATCCTTTCCATGCATCTCACGGCTTTGTTTACCAAAGTAATTTACCAGGTAATCTCGGCTCCAGAATCAGAAATAACTGCTCAGAAGAAGAGGAACAAACACTGTGTCCATCTGTGGTGTATCTGACTGTGCAGCTATAAAAATAGCCGACTCTCAGTCTGAACGTCGGTGTCACACACAGACTGTCACTGTCCTGTTCAGCAGAGATGAAAAGCTGGAGGCCCAGTACACCCTGCGTATGTACATGTATGTTCAGAGTACGGCTGTCTGCAGGACTGTGTGTGGGTGCTTGTAAGCATGTGGATATGGGGCGGCGACCATGATGCGGTGGGTAGAGCAGTCGTCTCCCAACACAAGGTTGGAGATTCAAATCTTGGTGCCTGCAGTCCATGTGTCGAAGTGTCCTTGGACAAGACACTGAACCCCCTGTTGCCCCCGATGGTTAGAGCCATCGGTTGAGTTGGTGCCGCAGATGGCTGCCATCGGTTCTGTACCAGAAACAAATTCCTTGTGTGTGTAACATACTAGGCCATACATTTATTCTGTTCGATCAGCTGCACAGGGCTGCAGCTGATTGGTCCATCGATAGAACAGTTATCAGCGGCTGTTTTTGGCATCGGCTCAGCGATAACGTCAGTCTGTAGAGACATGTTCTGCTGTGGGTCTGTTCGTTCTCTTCTGGTTCGGAGCTGCACCTCTGTGTGAGTTTGATGACGTCAGCAGTGGAGTCATCGAGAGAAAAGATCCAAAATCTAAAAATAGAAAAAGTAGGACACAACACCTGCTCCTCCTCACCCCCCCATCTTCCTCACTCCTCCTCCTCCTCCTTTCCACATTGTTCTCCTTTCTTTCACTCTTGTTTTATCTTCCTCTTCTCCTCATCTTTTCTCCTTTTCTCTGCTTGTTTGTTTCTCCTGTTCAAAGACACTCAGCTGTTCTCGCGTCCTCGTTCAGACCCACAACATTGTAAGGATGATGATAAAATAACAGGAATGCTCACACGTAAAAACCATATGAGGGTTTTTATTCAGCATGAAGATGAAGCAGAGGATCTGAGAGTCCTCCTGGTTCATCATAAAAGACTTTAACAGCTAACAGGCAGTTGGAAGGAGTCCAGTGTTATTATGAGAGATTACGCAGTGATTTTCAGTCTGTTCCTTGCACAGAAATGCCCACAAGTCAGCATCCTGTATCTCACAGATGCAGGCAGTGTCAAGCACAAATAGAGGAAAAGTGTAAAAATAATATCGAGTGGGACCAGATGCAGGATGCCTCACGCTGCTGAAGCTGCTGCCCATTAAAGTGTAATCTTCTGCTGACCTTTCTCCTCATCAGCATATTTACGGTTGCATAGCTGTAATTGGCACCAGAGCTCTGTGCACCCGGGCGTGGCCTCAGGTCTGACCTGAAGGGCTCAGACCCTGGAAGCTCACAGGTCACCTGCCCTGGGAACAGTTACACACCTGACTGGCGGGACTGTTGTTGACTGATGCCACCGGTCTGTCAGATCAGATTGAGACCACCTCCTCTGTAGTGTTACAGCTGTTAACTGACCGTCATCATACAGCTGATCCAGTCCGGCCCTGGCTGTGTTTCATGACAGCTGTAGTCTCTGCTGTTTGTATTTGGCACTGTAATAAAGTTATATACTGACCTGGTTATCGCATTATTTCCAGGCGCTGGTAAAACGAAGGTCAAACAGTGGCTCTTTGTTTTTAAAGACAAAACCATAGTCACGTGAAATATGTTACTTTTTAAAGTGTGATGGTTTTTCGACTATCCGAAAATCGTCCCAGTTGCAATGTGAATCTATGCTGAGCAAAACGCTTGTGTTCTTACTTTGGTTACAGTTGGGGGGCTTTTATTGTGAAGGAAGCACACTGCTATGTGCAGTGTGAACAGCTAGCAGACCAGTGCGACCACAGCAGAGACCAGCGGCACCACATTCACTGGTGCTGCTGGTCTCTGGCCCAGCACATGCTGAACACCAGTCTAGTGCTTTAACAGTCAGCGAGAGCTGCTCTTTACTGCAGTTTTCAGGGACGCCACTCCACATCCTCACTGTCCTCACTGTGTGGTTCCCATATTAACAGGTAGACAGCATCCTGAGGCTAGCAGCCATTTTTCAGCTCGCGGTCTAACACAGCTGCTGCTCTGACTCCAGTCAGACACTGGAAGCTGTTTTCAGTTTGATATCAGATGTTTTTGCTGCTGCAGATAAAAACACTGACTTCCTGTCAAGATTAACTTGTGTGACAAGGCGGCGGCAGGTTTGGGGCGGTGCTGAGGTGAGTGGGGGGATCACAGCTCTGCTGCACGTTTGAAGCTTATTTTGTGGAGGGATGAGAATGTGCAGATAAAGTCGGCAGAGTTTAAGCAGTGAAGAAGTAGGAGGGTGTAGTGGTTAAAGCCAAACAAGGTACCAGTCCAGAGGTAATATGTAGTAGAACAGTATGTAGTTCATATATAGATATTATTTGTAATAGTTATGTAAGGCTGAGCTAAGTTGATCTGTTTCTGGCTCAAGCAGGAATATCTTGGGCTGTGTCCCCCTTGATTAACTTATGGGTAAACATCCAGAGTGACTTCCTCCTTAGATGGGGAATGGATATAGCTTCAGCCTTATGTGAACGGTTTGTGTGCTCTGTTCAGGTTTAGAGAAAGGAAATGTGTGCTAGGTCAATGCGACCTAGAAGGTCATGTACTGGACATTTTAGACAATGCTCCGAAGAAGGTGTGTGGAGCTGGCATGAGACTGTGTCTCTGGCTCAGGCCATGGAAGGCTGTGTGACTGGGAGCAGATAAAGGCTGGGATAGCTGGGTTAGGGAAGAAGAAGAGAGGATGACAATGCTACCGTGAAAGTGTACCGTGGACCCAGGCCTGGGGGGTAGGGGCAACGAACTCAGGACTGACTGGACCCCTGACTGGACCTTGTGACCAACAATGACTGACTGGCGCTCTGACAATCTTCTTATTTAATACTTTATCTATCCCATTGCAGGAGGAGTGATCCTGTTCTCTGTTCCCTAACTACCAGATTACTTAGTTAACTACTACTCTGTTCAGAATATTTGTAATATTAAATGATTACTTCAATTGGGATGATTTGTCTGGATTAATTTAGTCTGTATCACATTCTAGCCACGGCTAAAAAGTTTGAACATGACAGTAAACTGTGGAGACGGCAGCCGAAACGCTGCAGAAATGGGAGTTGGTGTGGAAGGGCTAGTGTACCAGCTGCGTCATGGAGGTCACCTGTCAGGCCGCATCCACGCTGCTGAGCTGATGACAGACAGGAAACGACAACCGATGGGACCCAGTTGTCCCAGTCGGAGTCGTGTGTGTGACACGTACAGAATCCTCACTCTTCAGTCCAGATCCAGTCATTAACATGATTGTGCTGGTCTACTCTGGCTGTCACATGTTAACCCTGTGTGTGTCTGTGTGTTACAGCGCCCCCTACAGCACAGATTGTGCCCTCTGGTCGGACTTGTAATGTGGAGGAGGAGCGGCCCACTGAGAGAGTCTACACCATCAGAGAGGGGGAAACGGTGGAGCTGCAGTGTCTGGTCACAGGACACCCCCGACCACGGGTACATGGGAACACTGGGAACACAGTGGGTACACTGGGAACACTGGGAACACTGAAGCTGCACAGTGGGAGATGGACATGGCAGTGGATTTACAAATGGGGCAGCCCTTCATTTCTGTGTGCTCTTATTTAAGAGCAGTCCGGTGTGTGTCTGTCCGTGTTTTGTGCAAGAACTGACAGCGTCAAAGCAGAAACTTGTGGCATCGACACTGAGGCCAGTTTATGCAGATATCAGTGTGCCAGCGTTTGCATCTGATCAGAAGTTAAAGAATGATGATGAATGAGTGAATAACATGAAACGACTCAGCAAAAGAGCATAATAGTGTTTACATTTAATCACACACTTCATCCCTTCCACTCTGCAGAATAAACAGTATTAAGAAAAGTCTCATCATCCCCGGTGGCGCGCTGTAAGTGCCAGAGCTCCCACTGAGCCGAGCTGCTCCGACGTCTTTGTGCTTCATAAATGAGAGCGATCACAAGAAGAAGAAGAAACCCCAGAGGACCAGAGGAGCCACGGCCAAGTGGGAACGAAGAGAGACGTTCACTCTGAGTGTTGAAGAGGAGAGGCAGATGGATGAAGAGAAACCAGTAACAGAGGATCTGAGCATCCGACACTTGTCTTGGCTGTTAGCAGTCTGCTGTCGTCATTAACATCTGTTCAGATTTAATAAAACGACATCGTGAAGAGCAGAAGACGACTACTGGCGTGGAGACGTGCTCTAGTCCCGCGGGGGAGTGGGTTCAGTAGACACTCCAGACATCACTCTCCCCAGTGCCATCCTCCAGCTCCTCCCGGGGGACGCCGAGACGTTCCCACACTACATGAAATACATAACAATCCACTGGCAGGCTGTTTTAGCATCTTGTTCCCGATGGAGGGTCTCCAGTGTTTCACTCAGCTCCACTTCCCCTGTAGCTCCACAGTCCATCAGTGTCTCAGCACACTGTGCACAGGGACAAGCTGCAGGTGGTCGTCCATGTTGGTTTTGATGCAACATGTAGAGATGAACAGATTCCCTGCTTGTGACAGATGGTTCATGTGAGGGTCAAAGCCCTGTGTATTCATATGGACCTGTGTCCATGAAACGGGCTTAGTCAAGTTAAAGACGCCAGGCGTCCATGTTTGTATTACTTTGAGCCTTGTCAAAGCTCCAAGGACAAAACCTTGGTGTTGTGTGAACAGTGTTAACAAGCTGGTGACTAGGATGACTGCTATGTAACCATCTCACTTCTGTCGTCACCGTCCCACCGCAGCTGTAAGTCTTTGTGTGAATGTGATGATTGCAATGATCAGTAATTGGTCCTGATCAGAGGGGAGGCTCCCTCCATCATCTCCCTGCTGTCAGTGTGTTGATGCTGGCACACAGTCTGAATCCACACACACACTACACACTCTTCCATCGCTGCGTCACTGCAGAGCTCAGCTTCCTCTGCTGCTGCTTTCACACCTCTCGTCTTCTCTCTCTGCATCAAGTGGAAATCCTTATTATGTGACTCTCATGTTTTACAATCAGAAATTTTTAACTTTTATCGTTAACAGCGTCTTAACGTCAGGCTGTGAAACCCTTCAGGTTGTAGCCCTTCATCACATTACAGCCATTAAAGCCTAAGGCAGTGTGGTGTCCTCACTGTAACGTGTGTTCAGCTTCCCGCTCTGGGCCGTAGACCTCCACTGTCCACCAGCTATTAGACCCTCCCGGTGGAGCGGTGTGGCTCACTGGGAGGCAGGTTTCCTCCTCAGGCCATGGTTAGTGTTGGATACTGTTGAACGCACAGTGACACTGTGTTAATTAGTCACTGTGCAGAGTGTATTGTCGTGCTGATCCAGGACCTGCAACTGCAGCTGGCTGTGGGCAACCGACACGTGGGGAGAGAGAGGGACCAAAAAAGAACCAGGGTAGAAAATCTGCTGAGGCGACAAGTTTAGTTTCAGAAGTGGAGCGACACAATGATCTTCAGCCTGCAAACAAGAAACAAGGGCACATTTTATCAGAGAACACACTGTGATGAAACCGGCACTGTTAGTTTGACCAAGATGGAAACCGTGGGAGTTTGTCTTTAATACACAAACGCTAGAAAAACTGTTGAACTGGCAGGGAACAGTGTTTTCATAGTGTCACTACAAATGGGTGGAACACTAGAGAACAGTTACAGCCTTGGCTTTAAATGTCACTGAAATTAAAACCAAACATTCCTGTGATGTTTCAACTCAGAGACATTACAGTAACAACAGGTCATCGATCGATTGATGGATTGATTATTTGAGAATACAGCCAGCAGATGAATCAGTAACATAAGTGGCAGCCCTGGAAAGGAGAGGAGTGAAGGGACAAAGGGGGGAGAGGGATGGTTGGAGCAGGCGGGAGGGGTGGACTGATACCTGACCAGCGGATGCTGAACCAGGACGAGTCTGGCCAAGAGGCCAGGACCCTCATCCCCTGGCCCCTCACCCTGACCCTAACCTAATCCTGAACCCTAAAATCAGGTCTGAACCCCCAGACAGCCCTTTGAAGGGTGAGGACCAGAAAACATGTCCTCACAGTGCAGACATGTCCTAATATAATCATAAATATATCATTGATTATTATTAGTGATGATATATATTAGGATATATCATCAATATATTAGTTTCTTTCATAGTGACAATTTCATCGAAACCTGAAACATCATGAATTTCAGAAACAGATGTTTGAGCAGCACTGTTGTGTCGGATTGTACAGACGTACCTAATAAAGTGATCACCTCCTCGTCCTCCTGTGCAGATTCGGTGGACTAAGACGGCCGGCGGAGCCTCGGAGCGTCAGGGCGACTCGTATGTTCACAACGAGACTCTGAGGATAGAAACCATCAGCCGCCACCAGGGGGGGCGCTACTACTGCAAGGCAGAGAATGGACATGGGGCCCCCGCCATCCGCTCCATCCGGGTCGATGTCTACTGTGAGAACGCACACTCAGACACATACTGGTCTCACGCTGTGGGTTCGGTTCGTTCTGGTTTAGTCCCAGTCTTTTAATAAAAATGTTGTTGTTGTTTGATTTCTGTTAGTCAACAGAAAAGATCTGAGTGACAGTTTAACCTCATACTTACAGCCGCCTCCAACCTTGATGCGTTACCTTGGTTACAGTTCTCGTTTCAAATCTCGCTGCTTATTTAGTTTTAGTCTGGTTTTCTTTCATGAGAAATAAGTCAGTGAATATTCTAATTTACGCTGTGAGGTTTGTCTGCCATTGACGGCTGATAAATGAGGAGCAGTCGGTAACTTCCTGCTGTTGTTTGCAGTCAGCTGATGGTGTTAAAACCTCCTCCTGACCCACATGGCTTCTCTGTAGAGAGCCATAATATCCTGCAGATTGTTTCTGACTGCGATTCCTGGGATTTAGGTGGTACCTGAATGCATTGTGGCTGAGTGCTTCCTTCAGGGCACGCAGGCTTTTACACAGCGTGTGAAACTGCCGGAGGAACAGGATAAATCCCTTTGTCCTTGGCTGAGCTCCACCTCACCTACCTGCAGCTGTGACAGCAACAATCCCAGTGCATTATGGGAGTTGGCACAGGTGGGACAGACTGTTTGCCTCTGTGTAACTGCAGCAACTGATTTTTGGAGCTTGACGTGTTTGTGTGCAGGTCGGAGTTTGACGCCGCTCTGTGTGTAGTGGATTATTGACCATTAGCTTCTCTGCCAGTGGCTCACTCATAACTGGACTCATTACTGAGCTGGATTCTGATTGGTCGGCTGCAGTCAGGTGGTCAGGGCATACGTGTACACGCACACACGAACCCACGCGCACACACACACACACACACACACACTCGTTATGTCTCCAGCCAATTAAAAAGCCTCTGGCTCTGCAGTAATTAACCCCACCACAGGACCAGTGACCCACTGTTAATACAATACGAACAAGAGTCAATTTAGACCCAACAGGAGAAAACACAAACTTCATGTCCTTGTGTTTCTGCAGCTCTGTACAGCTGAATGTGTTTCTGGCTCTACAGTGAGTTAGACGAGTTTTAATCTGAATTAAGCCAAATCACCGGTGGCTGGCAGGTTGTTGTCAACGGCAAAGTGCTCACTTAAAGAAATGGTCTTAGAAACTGTCGTGCTTGTGATTCTGTAAATCGCTACGTTTTCAAATGGAGTTTGGTCTGTGGAAAAGTCATAGATGGAAATGGCTGAAACTAGGCAAGGAGTTTCTCCTGCTCTGCCTCCTACTCTTCACATTCTTCCTCTTCCTCCTTCCTCACATCCATCTTGTCCTCCTCTCCCTTTCCCTCCTCCCCCTCCTCAGACCTGGATGACCCAGTGATAACGGTACATCAGAGCGTCGGAGAGGCGAAGGAGCAGTTCTACTTTGAGAGGACGGTGTTCCTTCGCTGTGTCGCCAACTCCAACCCACCTGTCCACTACACCTGGAGGAGAGGCAGGGACGTGCTGTCGCAGATCTCCGACTCGGGAGTGGAGATCTACGAACCTTTTTTTACACAGGTGAAGAAACACACCACTGCTTCTATTTAAACCCGGTTCATTGATTATGGAAGGAATGTAGAGACGGCTTCCCAAGTGGAGCTTCCTGTTGACTAAAACCACTGTGGCGGTGTGTGGAATCAGTCCTGCTCACCGTACTGTATAGACTGTTGGCTTTGTCGCAGTGGTGTCCCGATGCCGACTGTGTCAATAAATCCACTCAGAAATTCCACAGTGGAGCTTAGGAAGTAGTGTAGTAGTGATTATGCAAAATGACGATGATTAGTGGGGTCCGAAATGTCAATTTACTGTTCGCTGCTGAGTGAACTGCTTCGTGTACATTAGGGAGGAGTGAATGAGTGAATGAGTGAATGAGTGAGCCTGTGTTTCCAAAATAGTAAAATTATGTTTCCATGTCTGAGATCATGAGTCAGACCACATTCGTGTTTCTGCAGTTACGATCACATTGTTATATCACCTCATACTTGTAATAATAATATCAATCATTATTTGCATTGTGCCTTTCATATACACTCAGCAGCCACTTTATTAGGTACACCTATGCAATTGTGTGCTGACACTTCTACCGTCATCTGTTTATGAAGCTCAAGCTGTTTCAATTTTTGGATTATCTATTTATTATTGAAGTCAGAGGTGTGTCTATATTTTTGTCCTCATACAGGAGAGGGTCCGAATATTAGGAACACCTCTGACCTCAATAATAAACATCTAATTGAATGTTGAGCTTCATAAACAGATGTTAAGGCTGAAATGGCTCATTGAATGACCCCCCCATTGTACGTGTGAACCTAATAAAGTGGCTTGTGAGTGCATGTTCATGCAATTCAAAGTGTTTACCAGGCGACTAAAATCAATGTGAACAATAACAACACACGTCTTTTATATACACATATAAAACAAAGATTGAGTTTTGTTTTCAGAATTGCTAAAAGTGCACGAAGTGAACTTCATAGACTTTGAGTCCCAGTGCAGACGTTGCTCCTGCTGCTGCTTCCTGTATCATTCTGTACATGTGAATATTCACGGTGGCTCCTCCGTCGGCACATGCACCTCCTCGTCCTGTGGATTAAAAACCTCTGCAGATGGAGATTGCAGATTGGTCTTTTCTTTCTTTTGGCTGTGGATTAAGTTTAATTTGGAGCAAAGGGAAGCTGGCCAGTTAGCGGGACGTGTAATACCACAGCCAAGATAACATTCATGCCAAATTTGAACGTTGTCAGCTGTAATGCTTTCAGCACAGAGCTCATGGACTTGTTAACCCATCCCCCTCGCTCCTTCAGCCCACCTCATGGGCCCTAATGAGGAATCTCCTCCTCCTCCTCCACAGCCAAAAAAATTTGGTGCCATCTTTGCACAAACATCTCATTTAAATGTCATCTAATCTCATCTCATCTGTCCGTGAGACGGAAGGCAATGCCGGAGCTGCCAGAGGATTTGGCAGCAAGGAGGAGGGAGAGAAGAGGAGGATGGAAATAAGGAGGAAGAAGAGAAAGAGGAGGAGCTCAGGCTGGGACAGATCAGAGCTGTGGTTGATCTGCTGCTTATTAAAATCATTTACTTCACTGGACTGCAGCTTAAAAATCACAAGACTCACTGAAGTTTCAAACTGTAGGACTTCTGTTGCTGCGGGGGCCCTGAGCTGCCGAGACAACAGCTTTGGACAGAACGTGTGAAACAAAATTAAAAATACAACATTTCAGAGAATTGTAGCAAATCAGAGTCGGTTACACAGAATCTAGTGAATCGCTGTCTTTGTCTTTAATCTCATTCTGTTCTGTTTCTGATTCATACACACTGGTCATGTCCTAGTTTGGAAAAATACTGGAAAGAGGTTTTTCCACACACCAGGTTCTGTTGTGGAGCCCAACCGTCTGCTTGCCCTGTTTGGTGTCACAGCCGGGGAGAACACATGCCCTCGTCTCCAGCCGAGCACCATTGGTTGTGCTTTGGCTCCTTTCCAGCCAGGTGTTTCTTACAGTACCTCTAATCCACACAGAAAGTGTTTTTGGAAACGTCTTCTATATGCGTCTCATGCACGTCTCCCATCGAAGCTTTGCCTTTTTTACACTTCAGATCTATTGTTTTTTCTTCTGCTGCGTTTAGTGAAGCGTAATCTCCACAGTCAGCTGTTTAAAATTGTACAAACCTCGTTGCTTTCTGTGTCTGGAATCTGTTACGACTGATCAGAGGCTGTTTTGGGTTTCACTTTCACTTTGGCCCTCTGTAGACCCGAGGAAAGTCAATAAATCCATAGGCCACATAAAAACTTACTTTCTACCTGATGATCTGACATGAAAACTATCTTTGTCCAGTCCACGTGTTGTTGGTCGGCCTGCTACACAGTCTTTGTCCGGCTGCTGTCCTGCTGTCAGACAGGCAGCTGTTCTGATGACTTTAAAGACAGAGCGAATCTGAAAATGTCCGTGTGAATCAGGACCAAAATGCTAAAACGTAGCTTATAAAACCTACGTGCTGCAGTTTCTCCGTTGAAGGTGTCACCTGACGTTCTGGTGTCAGGTTTACACCAGAAACAAGGTTTGTATTTGTTAGTTGTCTGGATGTCAAGGTCAAAGTCAAAGTGTTTATTTGTCATATGCACAGTTAGGAAACGTGTTTCCCCGTACAATGAACTTCTTACTTTGCCGTCCACATGAATGCTACAAAATACAAATGAAATATAAAGTAGATAAATAAGTAACACAAAATCTAAGGCACTTTAAGCAGCAAATGCAGCAATATAATAAAAATATATCAGAATATAATAGAGAATGTATGCTGGATGGGAGCAGCATGTGCAGCAGTCAACAGTCAATGTGCAAACTGAGAATGTAAACAATACATCACGTATTTCCTGGTAATAAACTCCTCAGCTGTTTAGGAGTCTGATGGCAGAGGGAAAGAAAGAGTTTTTCAGTCTAGAGGTCCTACATGTCACACTCCTGAACCTCCGACCAGAGGGTAGGAAGGTGAACAGTCCGTGCTGGGGGTGGGTGGGATCTTTGAGGATGGAGGCAGCTTTCCTACGCACCCTGTGGTGGTAAATGCTCTGCAGAGAGGGCAGTGGAGTCCTGGTGATCTTCTCC